GGACACCTACACCAAAACCCCATCAGTACATCACCATCATCAAAGACAAGAGGGAGATAAAACTCTGCACCAAGCGGACCTAATAGGCATCTACAGACCTCTCCACCACAAATCAATGGAATATACATTCTTCTCAGCACCACATCATACTCATTCGAATATTGACCACGTAGTTGGAAGTAAAGCACTCCTCAGCAAATGTACAAGAACAGAAATTATAACAAACTGTCTCTCAGACCACAGTGCAATCAAACTAGAACTCAGGACTAAGAAACTCAATCAAAACTGCTCAACTACATGGAAACTGAACAACCTGCTCCTGAATGACTACTGGGTACATAACGAAATGAAGGCAGAAGTAAAGATGTTCTTTGAAACCAATGAGAACAAAGATACAACATACCAGAATCTCTGGGACACATTTAAAGCAGTGTGTAGAGGGAAATTTATAGCACTAAATGCTCACAAGAGAAAGCAGGAAAGATCTAAAATTGACACTCTAACATCGCAATTAAAAGAACTAGAGAAGCAAGAGCAAACACATTCGAAAGCTAGCAGAAGGCAAGAAATAACTAAGATCAGAGCAGAACTGAAGGACATAGAGACACAAAAAAACCCTCCAAAAAATCAATGAATCCAGGAGTTGGTTTTTTGAAAAGATCAACAAAATTGATAGACCGCTAGCAAGACTAATAAAGAAGAAAAGAGAGAAGAATCAAATGACGCAATTAAAAATGATAAAGGGGATATCACCACCGACCCCACAGAAATACAAACTACCATCAGAGAATACTATAAACACCTCTATGCAAATAAACTGGAAAATCTAGAAGAAATGGATAATTTGTTGGACACTTACACTCTTCCAAGACTAAACCAGGAAGAAGTTGAATCCCTGAATAGACCAATAGCAGGCTCTGAAATTGAGGCAATAATTAAGAGCCTAAAAACCAAAAAAAGTCCAGGACCAGATGGATTCACAGCTGAATTCTACCAGAGGTACAAGGAGGAGTTGGTACCATTCCTTCTGAAACTATTCCAATCAATAGAAAAAGAGGGAATCCTCCCTAACTCATTTTATGAGGCCAACATCATCCTGATACCAAAGCCTGGCAGAGACACAACAAAAAAAGAGAATTTTAGGCCAATATCCCTAATGAACATCGATGCAAAAATCCTCAATAAAATACTGGCAAACCGGATTCAGCAACACATCAAAAAGCTTATCCACCATGATCAAGTGGGCTTCATCCCTGGGATGCGAGGCTGGTTCAACATTTGCAAATCAATAAACATAATCCAGCATATAAACAGAACCAAAGACAAGAACCACATGATTATCTCAATAGATGCAGAAAAGGCTTTTGACAAAATTCAACAGCCCTTCATGCTAAAAACGCTCAATAAATTCAGTATTGATGGAATGTACCTCAAAATTATAAGAGCTATTTATGACAAACCCACAGCCAATATCATACTGAATGGGCAAAAACTGAAAAAATTCCCTTTGAAAACTGGCACAAGACAGGGATGCCCTCTCTCCCCACTCCTATTCATCATAGTGTTGGAAGTTCTGGCTAGGGCAATCAGGCAAGAGAAAGAAATCAAGGGTATTCAGTTAGGAAAAGAAGAAATCAAATTGTCCCTGTTTGCAGATGACATGATTGTATATTTAGAAAACCCCGTTGTCTCAGCCCAAATTCTCCTTAAGCTGATAAGCAACTTCAGCAAAGTCTCAGGATACAAAATTAATGTGCAAAAATCACAAGCATTCTTATACACCAGTAACAGACAAACAGAGAGCCAAATCAGGAATGAACTTCCATTCACAATTGCTTCAAAGAGAATAAAATACCTAGGAATCCAACTTACAAGGGATGTAAAGGACCTCTTCAAGGACAACTACAAACCACTGCTCAGTGAAATAAAAGAGGACACAAACAAATGGAAGAACATACCATGCTCATGGATAGGAAGAATCAATATCGTGAAAATGGCCATACTGCCCAAGGTAATTTATAGATTCAATGCCATCCCCATCAAGCTACCAATGAGTTTCTTCACAGAATTGGAAAAAACTGCTTTAAAGTTCATATGGAACCCAAAAAGAGCCCGCATCTCCAAGACAATCCTAAGTCAAAAGAACAAAGCTGGAGGCATCACGCTACCTGACTTCAAACTATACTACAAGGCTACAGTAACCAAAACAGCATGGTACTGGTACCAAAACAGAGATATAGACCAATAGAACAGAACAGAGTCCTCAGAAATAATACCACACATCTACAGCCATCTGATCTTTGACAAACCTGAGAGAAACAAGAAATGGGGAAAGGATTCCCTATTTAATAAATGGTGCTGGGAAAATTGGCTAGCCATAAGAAGAAAGCTGAAACTGGATCCTTTCCTTACTCCTTATATGAAAATTAATTCAAGATGGATTAGAGACTTAAATGTTAGACCTAATACCATAAAAATCCTAGAGGAAAACCTAGGTAGTACCATTCAGGACATAGGCATGGGCAAAGACTTCATGTCTAAAACACCAAAAGAAACAGCTGCAAAAGCCAAAATTGACAAATGGGATCTAATTAAACTAAAGAGCTTCTGCACAGCAAAAGAAACTACCATCAGAGTGAACAGGCAACCTACAGAATGGGAGAAAATTTTTCCAATCTACTCATCTGACAAAGGGCTAATATCCAGAACCTACAAAGAACTCAAACAAATTTACAAGAGAAAAACAAACAACCCCATCAAAAAGTGGGCAAAGGATATGAACAGACATTTCTCAAAAGAAGACATTCATATAGCCAACAGACACATGAAAAAATGCTCATCATCACTGGCCATCAGAGAAAGGCAAATCAAAACCAAATGAGATACCATCTCACACCAGTTAGAATGGCGATCATTAAAAAGTCAGGAAACAACAGGTGCTGGAGAGGATGTGGAGAAATAGGAACACTTTTACACTGTTGGTGGGATTGTAAACTAGTTCAACCATTCTGGAAAACAGTATGGCGATTCCTCAAGGATCTAGAACTAGATGTACCATATGACCCAGCCATCCCATTACTGGGGATATACCCAAAGGATTATAAATTATGCTGCTATAAAGACACATGCACACGTATGTTTATTGCAGCACTATTCACAATAGCAAAGACTTGGAATCAACCCAAATGTCCATCAGTGACAGATTGGATTAAGAAAATGGGGCACATATACACCATGGAATACTATGCAGCCATCAAAAAGGATGAGTTTGCGTCCTTTGTAGGGACATGGATGCAGCTGGAAACCATCATTCTTAGTAAACTATCACAAGAACAGAAAACCAAACACCGCATGTTCTTACTCATAGGTGGGAACTGAACAATGAGATCACTTGGACTCAGGAAGGGGAACATCACACACCGGGGCCTATCCTGGGGAGGGGGGAGGGGGGCGGGATTGCATTGGGAGTTATACCTGATGTAAATGATGAGTTGATGGGTGCAGCACACCAACATGGCACAAGTATACATATGTAACAAGCCTGCACGTTATGCACATGTACCCTACAACTTAAAGTATAATAATAATAAATAAATTTAAATAAATAAATAAATAAATAAAACGAACAAAGGATTAAAATAGAGTTTTCTCCAAGGAAGATATGCAAATATCCAATAAGCCCATGCAGAGTTCCTCAGCGTCATGAATACGTAGAATTATGCAAATCAAAACCACAATGTGACACCACCTCTCACACTTTAGGATGACTTTGATAAACAACAATGACAGCAACACAAAACAAGTGTTTTCAAATAGATGGAAAAATTGGAGCTCTCGTGCATTACTGATGGGAATGGGAAATGTTATAGCCACTGTAAAAAGTGGTGTGGCTGTTTCTCAAAAAATTAAACAATAAATTACCATTCGACCCAGCAATTCCACTTCTGGACATACTGCCTATAGAATGGAAGGAAATTTGAACAAATATTTGCACATTGATGTTCAGAGAAGCATTACTCACAATAGCCAAAAAATGGAAACAACGGAAAAGTCCTCTGAAAGATAAGTGGGTAGGCAAATGAGGTATATCTCTACATCGAAATGTTATTCAACCTTAACAAGGAATAAAATTCCAATACATCGTGCAAAGTGGATGAACCTTGAAGACATTATGCTAACTGAAATAAGCTGGACATTGAAGGATAATTATTCTATAATTCCATTTATAAAAGATAGAATAGCCAGTTACATAGAGACAGAAAGTAGAATGGTATGTGCTAAGAGATAGGGGGAGAAGAAGTGAGAGTTACTGTTTATAGGGTACAGAGGTTTAATATGGCAAAAGGAAAAAGTTCTGGAAATGGATAGTGTGATGATTACTTCCGGATAGTGTGATGGTTACACAACACTAAATTACACACGTAGAAATAGTTAATGATAAGTCTTAATATTAGATACATATAAAGTGTCCTTGTAGTCTTACACTCTATAAATACACACTTTTTTCATTGCCCCTTTCCTGCCATGCAGAGCCCCAGAGGTGAATCTCCCTATTTATTCAAGTGTGCATCACTCACTGTCCTCTGTGCTGTGTCCCACATGCAGTGCCCACAGCCTCATACAACCGGTGACTTCAGAGCCAGGACACAGCTCAAGAGTCTGCCCCAAGGCTTCCTCTCTTCTTATTTCCCTGCAGCCTAGGCTTCACTTCAACTGGCAGCTCGATTTAGCGGAATTCAGAACAGGCCACCAGGGCTCTTTCTCCACACATGCTGGTCTCACCCCAGGTGGAGTCAGGCAGAGCCAGTCACCAGAGAAGCCCGGAGCAAAGAAGGGAGCAGTCTGAGCTCTTCCTCCCTCATCCAAGGGGCTTCCTCCTCTCACTTGGAGGGAAAATGTGAGCTTGTTTCAAAACCTCAGATGTTCCCTGTAGCTCATGGAGTAGGTAAAAGAAAACAAAGACGTGGTGGACAGGGATGTGTTCTGACAGCAAGAAGCAACTTGATCTTGAGGACTCTCCTTCTTGTCCCTCTGTGAAGCCTCTTCCACCACATAGGGCTCAGGACTGACAAAGCCCCCTCCCTACCTTTCTCAGGCTGGACACAAGGTCAACCATGAGAAAACAGAAAAACAAGGAGAAGAGAGTCTGTAGAGACAAATTGGGAGGGTTCAGGAGGAGAATTTAGGATTTGCTTCTGCCCATGGGACACAGGCTGGGAATAAAAATGTTTTCCTGACTCTTCTCTGAAAGCCAGATAGACTCCACCTAAAACCCTGTTGACAATGATGCAGGGATCCACTTACCAAAGACTTTGATCCTCTTGAATTTGGAACGTTCCCTGCCAGTGGCTGAGTTACGAGCAGAGCAACCATAGAGCCCGCTATGCTCTGTAGTAATTTGGGGGATAGAGAGCTCTTGTCCTGATTGCAGAAACTTCCCATCAATCGTCCAAGAATACTCTGCCGGTGGGTTAGAGTCCGCGAAGCAGGTCAACTGGAGGGTTTTTCCTGAACGGTAATAGGTTAATGGAGAGAAAATCCTGGGGACTTGTGGACCATCTGGAGTAAAGAGAATAAAGCCACAGGTGATGTCATCCGAGGGAAGGGGATGCTCCTGGTCTCTTAAAGGGACACAGTGTCCCCCTGAGTCAAGACACACACTCAAGACCCAGCCAAACCCCTTCTGTGTTCACTGAGTCAAGGCCTGAGGTATTCACCTGTTCCTCCCATTGCAGGATGTAGACCCCAAGTCTCCCATGACAAGAGCAGCCTCTCCCCTTCTATTCTTGGTTAAGGCTGTGCCTACCCAGGTTTTCTCAAGACAGGGAGTCATGGCCAACTCGGGTGTCCAGAAATAAAAGTGTCTGTACTTGGGCCTGAGACAGACTAGGATGTCTGGCCTCTGGTCATTTGAATTTTAGCTGATGGCCTGGCCCACAGAGGAACCAAAGATACAAAGGACATTCAGGGTGACTGGGTCACTGCACATGCTACCAACTCGGTCCCATATTTCACATTCATAGGGTCCTGTGTCATTTCTTGTGACATTGGCTAGAATAAGGATCCTGGTTTTACCGGGTTGCTTTAGACTGGGACTGACCGGGAGGCTGTGACCATTTACCCTCCACAAGTAGGTGTAGCCCTGAGTCTTAGGTTCACAAGTTAAGGCTATAACATTCTTTTTTTTTTTAATTTATTTATTATTATTATACTTTAAGTTGTAGGGTACATGTGCATAACGTGCAGGTTTGTTACATATGTATACTTGTGCCATGTTGGTGTGCTGCACCCATCAACTCATCATTTACATCAGGTATAACTCTCAATGCAATCCCTCCACCCTCCCCCCTCCCCATGATAGGCCCCTGTGTGTGATGTTCCCCTTCCTGAGTCCAAGTGATCTCATTGTTCAGTTCCCACCCATGAGTGAGAACATGCGGTGTTTGGTTTTCTGTTCTTGTGATAGTTTGCTAAGAATGATGGTTTCCAGCTGCATCCATGTCCCTACAAAGGACGCAAACTCATCCTTTTTGATGGCTGCATAGTATTCCATGGTGTATATGTGCCCCATTTTCTTAATCCAATCTGTCACTGATGGACATTTGGGTTGATTCCAAGTCTTTGCTATTGTGAATAGTGCTGCAATAAACATACGTGTGCATGTGTCTTTATAGCAGCATAATTTATAATCCTTTGGGTATATACCGAGACTTAAATGTTAGACCTAATACCATAAAAATCCTAGAGGAAAACCTAGGTAGTACCATTCAGGACATAGGCATGGGCAAAGACTTCATGTCTAAAACACCAAAAGCAACGGCAGCAAAAGCCAAAATTGACAAATGGGATCTAATTAAACTAAAGAGCTTCTGCACAGCAAAAGAAACTACCATCAGAGTGAACAGGCAACCTACAGAATGGGAGAAAATTTTTGCAATCTACTCATCTGACAAAGGGCTAATATCCAGAACCTACAAAGAACTCAAACAAATTTACAAGAGAAAAACAAACAACCCCATCAAAAAGTGGGCAAAGGATATGAACAGACATTTCTCAAAAGAAGACATTCATACAGCCAACAGACACATGAAAAAATGCTCATCATCACTGGCCATCAGAGAAATGCAAATCAAAACCACAATGAGATACCATCTCACACCAGTTAGAATGGCGATCATTAAAAAGTCAGGAAACAACAGGTGCTGGAGAGGATGTGGAGAAATAGGAACACTTTTACACTGTTGGTGGGATTGTAAACTAGTTCAACCATTATGGAAAACAGTATGGCGATTCCTCAAGGATCTAGAACTAGATGTACCATATGACCCGACTATAAAATTCTTATTATCCATGGGGTTGAAGTTGTTGCTGGTGATGTAAGGCTTAGGCAGCTCTGCTGTGTGGATAACAGAGAGAAGTTTGTCCTGTGTGGCACCTTTGATTCCTCCACAGGCACCATTCAATCAGAGTTGGCATCTCCCACCTGTCAGCCCACCCGAGTCCTTGAAAGTCAATAGCTGGTGCGTGTGTCACAAGACAGATGCATGATGATCTAAGGGCTCAAAGACTGTGAGGCCGCTCGCTCTGTCTTAGGGAAGCACAGACTTTCTTAAGTGTGAATTGAGCAGCAGTGTTGGGTCATGGAAAGACACGTGAGTGGGAGTCACAGCCCCTGGTACCCCTCCCAGTCTCTCTCTAATCAACTGACTGGCTGGTTCACCTTGGCTTCCTTACCTGGAATGTGCAACTACTGGGCCCCTTCCAAATTCCATCCGACTTTGCCCCCCTAGATGTGATTTCTCTGCAGCTTCCATTTCCAAGGACATTTTAGAGATGAGTAATAATGTGACTTCCCATTGTCTTGAAACCCTGAAGATACTGAATAGCCTGGCCTGGGACTGGATGTTTCAGCAGAAATAAGACAGGGGAGACCAGAGTCAAGCCTGGAGGTCAGTTCAGTCATCAGGCAGTGGAGGCACAAGGTGGGGTAGTTTTTTGCAGGTGTTTCATGATGACTTGCTTGACCAGTGACCTCCAAAGATAGAGCAGAATGCAAGGAATGATCTAGAAAGAGTGAGGGGGACAGGCAAGAGTTGGTGACTTTGGAACAGAACCATGTTCCCTGTTCCGGGTTCTTTAAGTTTCCTCTCCTTCTGCAGAGGGCAGGTGAGGATTATGTGGATCTTTCCAGAAATACATGTGGATATTTGCAAATGCAGAACTGACTGGTGGAAAGGGTGGGAATGAACTGCTGGAAATCTGGCCCTCATGGACCATGTGTGTTTGATGGATATGAGACAAATTTGGGGAGAATTCTTGCAAATATTTTCTTTCATTGGACACTCTACTCTCCGATTCCATGGATTTGACTACTCTAGGGACCTCATGTAAGTGGATTCCAGAGTGAATTTGAGAAGAGACTGCTGGTTGCCAGGAGCTGGGAGTGGGGAGAATCAGAAGTTGTTCATGTGTGTGCAGTTTCAGTTATGCAAGACAGGGAGGTTCTAGAGATCTGCTGTACAGCTCAGTGCCTATAGTTCACACAGTCTGAGTCTTTCTTATGCATGAGACTTATGACAAAAGGTGTTTTGGATTTCTGACATTTTTTTATTTTGAACTATTTGTCATATACTTACTGGTTTAGCATCCCAAATCTGAAAGATTCAAAATCTAAAATGCTCCAGTGAGCATTTCTTTTCAGCATCAGATTAGTACGCCAAAGTGAGAGGTGATAGGCCAAATACATTCTTGCCCTTTTTTCTCTCTCTCTCACCACGTTTCTAGCTTGATGATTAGTTTTTGGTCAATTCCATACTGGCCATGCTGCGCTTGTATATTTTTGAAGGTTTTGGGATGTGAGAGAGGCTGATTGCTATTTTTTATGTCATCAAAATTTTCCACCTTTTCATGGTTGCATCTTTCTCTCAGTGTCTCTGTTGTGGCAGTCATTAATAAGAGCCTGTCAGGTCAGAGTTAAGACAGATTTTTGTAATTCTGCAAAAAATGTTACTGGTAGGGGTTGCATGTTCTGGTAGGGGTTGCATTGAATCTGCAGCCCACTTTGGGTAGCATTGTTTTCCTAACAATATTGATTCTTCCAATCCGTGAGAATGAAATGTCTTTCCATATATTGATGTTGTCTTTAGTTTCTTTCAGTAATGTTTTGGAGTTTTCAGGGTATAACCCTATAACCTTTTTGGTTAAACTTATTCTAAAATATTTTGTTCCTTTTGATGTTAGTGTGAATGGAAATTCTTTTCTTAATTTCCTTTCAGATTGTTCACTGTTACTGTATAGTCTAAAGAATGAACTAGAAAGAGTGAAGGGGACAGGAAAAAGCTGGTGGTTTTGAAGCAGAAACATATTCCCTCTCCTGGGTTTTTTATTTTCCCTCTCTCTTTGCAGAGGGCAAGTGGCTCTTCCCTGATAGCCAGATAGACTTCACTGGAAAACATGTTGCCAAAGCTCCAGGGATCCACTTACCAGGGACTATGATCTTCTTGATTATGAGATTTGTTCCACAAGTGGCTGAGTTATGGATGAAACAGACATAGACCCCTATATATGTTTTAGTGATTTGGGGGATAAAGAAAACTTATGCTGATTGCTGGAACTTCTCATCAATCAGCCAAGAATGCTCTGCCAGTGGGTGAGAGTCTGTGAGGCAGGAGAGCTTGGGGACTTCCCCTGTGTGCTAATAGGTGTATGAAGAAGAAATGATGGGGGCATCCAGGCCATCTGGAGCAAAGAGAATAAAGTCACAGGTGATGTTGTCAGAGGGAAGGGAAAATCCTGGTCTGTGGAAGGGCCACAGTGACCCTCTGAGCTAAGTCACAACACTGAAGTCCCAGTCAAATCCCTGCTGTGTTCACTGATCTGGAGCTTGAGACATTCACCTGTTTCTCCCATCATAAGCTGTGGACCCTGAGTCTCCCATAACAGGAGCAGCCTCTTCTCCCCCATTGTTGATCAAACCTAAGCCCATTCTTACTAGTCATGGCCAGCTTTGATGTCCAGGGGTAAAGGTCTCTGTACTTGCACCTGAGAGGGACTGAGAGGCCTGGCCACTGGCTATGTGTATTTGGGATGGCAGCCTGGCTCACAGAGGAACAGAAGATACTCACAGAGGAGATTCAAGGTGACTGGGTCACTGCGGCTGGAACTCACTGGGTTCTTCATTTCACATTCATAGGGTCCTGCAGTATCCTTTCTGACACCAGATAGAACGAGGGTCCTGTTGTTTTCGGACAGCTGCAACTTGCGACTGATAGGGAGGCTCTGTCCATTTATCCACCACAAGTAGCTTACGTCCTGAGTGTCAGGATCACAGGATAAGATCACAGTCTCCGTGCCCTCCCTGGGGTTTAAGTTGCTGCTGGAGATGTAGGGCTTGGGAGTCTCCACTGTGCAGATAACAGAGAGAAGATTGCCCTGTGTGGCACCTTTGATTCCTCCAAAGACATTTTTCAATCAAAGATGGCATTTCCCACTTCTCAGCCCACCCAAGTCCTTAAAATCCCATGGCAGGTGTGTGTGTTACAAGACAGATGCATGGCAATCTGAGGGCTCAGAGATTGTGAGGCTGCCTGCTTTATGTGGGAGAAGCACAGACTTTCTCAAGTGTGAATTGAGCAGCAGCATTGGGTCATGGAAAGACACGGGACCAGCAGTCACAGCCCCTGGTGCCTCTCTGAGTCCTTCCCTCTCTAACTGCCTGCCTGGCCCACCCTGTGGTCCTCACCTGGAGCATGCAGTGCTGGAATCTTCTTAGTTTCAGTCTTACTTTGCCCCCCAAGGTATGTTTTCTCTGTAGCTTCCCTTTCAAGGACATCCTAGAGATGGATGATGGAACTTCCCATTGTCCTTAAACTCTTTGGGTACTGGGAAGCCTGGCCTGGGACTGGGCACATCAGCAGAAATAACACAGAGGAGACCACAGTCAAACCTGGAGGTCAGTTCAGTCATCAGGCAGTGGAGCCACAAGGTGGGGCAATTTTCCCAGCTGTCTCATAGTGACTGACTTGAGCCAGTAACCTCTAAAGATAGAGCAGAGTCCAAGGAATTACCTACAAAGAGTGAAAGGGACAAGCAAGGGCTGATAGCTTTGGATCAAGACTATGTTCCCTGTTCTGTGTCCATGATGTTCCCTTCCCCCTGTAGAGGATGGGTGAGGACCATGTGGATCTTTCTAGAAATACATGTGGATGTTTGCAAATGCAGAACTGACTGATGGAAAGGGCAAACATGAACTGATGATGGAAGTCAAGCCCTCACGGACCACTTGTGTCTGATGGCTATTAGACCAATATTTGGGAAGAAGTCTTGCAGATACTTTCTCTCATTAGACATTATACCCTCTTATTCTATGAATTTGACTACTCTATGCATCTCATCTCAGTGGATTCCAGAGTGAATCAGAGTAGAATAGCGGTTTCCAGGAGCTGGGTTTGGGAGAATAGGGCATTGTTCCAGGGGTGTGCGCTTTCAGTTATGCAGGATAAGGAGGATCTAGAAATCTCCTGTACAGCTTCATGCCTATAGTTCATGCAGACAAAGTGTTCCTTATGCAGAAAGCTTAAAACCAGGTGTTTTAGATTTCTAACTTTTTTTTTTTATTTTGGAATATTTGCAGTAGATATACTGGGTTAGCATCCCAAATCTGAAAAATTTAAAATCCAAAATGCTCCAGAGAGCACTTCTTTTTAGCATCACATCAGTGGTCAGAAGTGTTGGATTTGGGAGCATTTCAGATTTTGGATTTCTGGATTTGGGATGCTCAATTTGTAATACTGTAATTTTCCCATAAAAAGTTGTCAGAAGTTTAGACATCATGTTATGTTCTGACTCTAGTAACAAAACAAAACAAAATTTGGAGGAGACATTAAAATGTTGTCATAAGTGGAAATGTTTACTGATGGTCCAAACATCTAAGATCAATTGCTGGTAGTAGTATTTCTCTTGATACCCAATTAAGGTTTAGGTGCGGGGTGAATTCCAGCAGGATCACATTATGCTCAAAGAAAGATGCCAAAGGTGACTTGAAATTAGCAAGTCCTTAAGTAGAGAGAGTCCTGTTAAAAGGACAGAACTGGTCAGTGTGTCAATTACATAAAGGGAGGAATGATGCCGAATTAAAAGAAATGTTGTGTGTTATGAAAGTAAATATAGAAAGAACTCCGTTTCTAATCTCTCTGCAGAGTTAGGAAAAATGGGGAAGAGCCCAAAACAGGTATGTGAAATGCTTTCTTCATTTTCTCTTAACCTCAGGAAATACAACTCGAGTTTAAGTTTGTGGGAATTAGGAAGAGTCTAAGTGATACGCCAGTGGCTCATGTGTCCCCCACACGAAGAAAACAACTGTATGTGGCACAAGCAGTAAAACCACCAGACAGCACCCCCTGGCCACCTCGAACAGGTCCCCAAAACCGCTAGTATTCCCATTACGTGTATGTTACAGCCTTGGTAATCATCCCACAACTACAAAATTTAAAAAATTGCTATTGTCAATACAAAATATTAACTATGAAGTAGAATATGTTGTTCCACTTTTCTTTCCCCTACTCTTTTTGAACTTTCCTGTTTCAGTTTTGGAAGTTTCTATTGACACATCCTCAAGCTAGGGATTCTTTCCTCAGCTGTGTGGAGTCTACCAGTAAGCATCAAAAGCATTCTTCATTTCTCTAACAGCTATTTTTTTTTCTTTCTTTCTGAGACAGAGTCTCACTATGTTGCCCAGGCTGGAGTGCAGTGGCACTATCTTGGCTCACTGCAAGCTACACCTCCTGGGTTCATGCCATTATCCCGCCTCAGCCTCCCGTGTAGCTGGGACTACAGGCGCCCGCCACCACGCCCGGCTAATTTGTTGTATTTTTACTAGAGACGGGGTTTCACCGTGTTTGCCAGGATGGTCTCGATCTCCTGACCTCGTGATCCGCCCACGTCAGACTCCCAAAGTGCCGGGATTACAGGTGTGAGTCACTGTGCCCGGCCATCTCTGAGGAATTGTTCAGCTGTTTACTTACTGTTAGAACCGAGTGACAAATTTCAAGCTTGTTATACGCCTGACAGGAAACCAGAAGTCTCTAGGAAGTGACTGGAGAATGTGAGCTCCACAGTAGGTTGAGGATGGAGTCACGAGTGAAATGGGTGAAATCAGCCCATGGGCTTTGGAGACGGCAGACCTGTCCAGCCTCTGACACCCTGGTGAGTCAGTGCAAAGATTACAACAGTGACAGCAAACTAGCATGGCTGACTCCATCTGGCATCTAGTCTCAGGCTGGCTGTCCTCACTCATTCCTGGACATAGGCCAGGCTAACCATGGGAGGAATTTAGTTTATGGTTTAACTTTGAAGAAACAATGATAATAGTTCCTCATAACACTAATATCCTTATTTTGCCCAGGGATTGCCTTTGTAAAACTGGAGAAAGACCATGAGAGTAAGATTATAGGAGGGGCTGAATTCTGCTAAAATGTAGGCACGGTATCTATAATCCCTTACTGCTCAAATGTCATTTGGCCAGAGTTTACAAAATTTGTAACTAATTGCTGCTATAGATAACATCACTATTGTAGAACCTGAGATTGGTCTTTTGAGATGTTTCTCATTCTTTGCATTCTGGCAACCAGATGACCTCATCCATACCCTTGACTAATGACTCAGCCAGTCATGTGGTCCGCACCTAGAGATGGATTCAAGCACAAACAGATCATTTCCCTCTGCCAGCATGATTCCATCCTCAAACAATCAGCAGTACCCATTTTTTACTCCTGTGCCCCTGAAACTATCCTTGAAAATCTCTAATCCCGATCCACTAGGGAGGCTGATTTGAGTAATAATAAACCTCCATCCTCCTGTTTGGCAGACTTGGAGTCATTAAAATCTTTCTTTACTGCAAATCACCATCGGGATAAATTGGTTTTGTTTGTGCAGGAGGCCAGAAAAACTTGTCTGGGAATTATAAGAGTGGATGGAGGAGCTGCCTTTCCCTGTCCCACGGTCTTGTCCACAGAACAGCCTCACAAAGGGACAGAGCCGTGGGTGGGGATACAGTGGAAGCTCATTCTCTTAGTGACCTGGGGACATTGGCTTGAGATGAAGCCTGGCAGTAGTGGAAACTCCAGGTGATTTCTGTGCCTTTCCTATTTCCTGGGAGGTGGGCCAGGCCACAGTGTTAGCAGGAAGGGAACAGAACAGTCAGCCTAGCTAGAGGGAGTATCTGGGGAAGGGCTAGGAGTGGAGGAAGAAGCTGTGCAGGACAGGGCTTGCCAGGTAGAATGAAGCGGGAGGAAGATGAGGGACACAGAGAAGCAGAGAGAGGCAGAGGCAGCATGGCAGTGAACAGTGGGGCCTACAGTGACTTCAGAGACCCCAGGGACCAGGTGCCCCCATTTCCACAGTCCAGGACCAGGTAGCCCTGAAAACCGTCCTGTGGCCAAAGAGCTTCAGAGTAACACATGAGGTGGGATGGCTTTAGGGACAACAGGTAGTGGGGGGATGAAACATGGGTGTCAGCCTCTGAAGGACAAGGGACAGGTGTGGCTAGAACTTCCTAGGATTCTCACCCAAGATCCAGTCTCTAAAGAGGTTATGGATCATTCACTTCTTCATTCAATTCCTTCATTTGTTATGTGAGAGCACCTGAGCGTGTGTCTGTCACTGGGCCTGTACTGGTGCGGGGTGTGAGTGGGGAATGAAAACAAGGTCCACTCTTTTATCCTGTTATGCCAGTGACATGGACACTTTGAGCAACACAGGATTTCAGGTTCAGTGATAGGGGTTAAGATCTCAGGGGGAGGCCTGGACATTTTTTGCACTGACTCTGACAGTTGAGGCAGGTGATTTAGTTTGGAGAACTGACTAATCAGCTGACCATTTGCTCTCACTCATCTGAGGTTTGGATGCCTAAGAAGAGAGGATTTGAGCCAATAAGTGACTATGGGGCCCTTGGATCCCAGTAAGCCCTCACTTCTGGTGGAGGAGAGGATGGGCCTGTGGCTGCAGACAGACCTCATGTGACCCTGATCTGCCTTTTGTGTTTGTGTGACTCTGGTTCAGTGACTGTGCCTTCCTGTGCCTCAGTTTTCTCTCAGTCAAATAAGCTAAATGGCAAATGGACTGTGGCTTTTCATGCTACCTGTGAATAAATTGTAGATTTTTCACAGTCACCTGACCTAATGTTTGGCACAGTGGAGGTGTTCACACAAACAGCATTTATTATTATTCACCTCCATGAGAGAGCACCTTTAGGTCAGATCCCTGTGGACAAGCTGCTGCCAGGTACATTTTCTCTCTTCTGCTTCTGCTTCGGGGACATTAGACTTTCTATGGAGTGTCGTAAGCCTTGCAAGGCAGTTGGCTGATGACCTACAAAGTTTGTCTTTCTGTCCTCCCAACTCTGAGTGTCAGGTGAAGAAAGCTCTGTCCTTGCCCAGATGAGGCTCTAAGGGCTGAGCCCTGGCTGGTGAGCAGCTCCAGGAGACACAGTCCTCAGATCGCTGGTGAATCCCCGGTCCCAGTAAGCCCTGCCACAACTGAGCCCTGGCACAGGCTCCTCAGCTTTATCTGGAGTAGGGTTTTAGGGACAGAGGTCTGGGGTTGAGGCTTCTTGGACTGAGCTTCTCTGAGAGTATCTCTGGGGGCCTCTTAGGCAAAGCCCTGCTCAGTTCTCCAGGGTGTTTCTCAGGGTCAAGTTTATGAAGAGGACATGAGGTGCTTGGCTGAGGCTGATCTCCTCCTGCTGAGCACCCCCCCCCCCCCAATCAGACTGTCCTTCCTGTGCAGCAAGTGTCTGCAGGGTCTGGAGGCAGGAAAGGAATTCTGATCTGTTGAGGTTTGTCTCCTCTGTGTGTGTCCTGCACTAAATGCCAAAACCCCAACATGGGACATAATGCAGAGAGGGACACAGCCACAGTCTAGGCCTGACCATCCTGTGTGTGCAAAGTAGAAGTGACCCTCGCCCCCCAACACCCAGGGATCATGTGGAATCACTCACGGTATAAGGTGAAATGTCCAGTTACTCCTTCAGTCCCTTCACCTCGCTTTACGATTTCTACGGTGTAGGATCCTGCATCCTTCTGGTTGACACTCTGGATCAGCAGGGATGCATTGGAATATATTGTTTCTCGTCCACTGTATACAGGCCCAAATATAATTGTTTCAGTGTCTATTGCATATGCTGTAATGTAATGCTGGAGGTCCATTATTTGCCCTTTGTACCAGATGTAGCCAGCAACATTCTGGGGCACATTGTGGACAAGTAGAAGAATATCCTTCCCCTCAGAAACTTTGGTTGGCTGAGCTTCAATCGTGACTTGCGCAGTGGTGGGCGGGTTCCAGAAGATTAAAAGTGATGCTAGGAGGTGGAGAGAGCATCAGTCAATATTGAGACCTATGTATTGGGGTGAAAAGATGGGGCCCTGGGTCGTGAGATGATCTCTTCAATCATCAGCCTTGAAGACACACACAGACACAAACACACACACACACCCCTTTTTTTGTGTGTATGTGATTGTGTGTTTGTGTCCTACTGTCGTACTAGGTCAAGGTCAGCGGCACGAACCCCATTCCTTCAACCCTTCTGACCTTGGCATTTTTCTCTTTGGAATCCTCTTCCCCAGGGGTCTGCATGGCTCCCTCCACACTGCCCTCAGGTCCTGCTCACATCAGGGCATTGTTGGACTTCTTTCCTGACACCTCCTTCAGAGACCCTGGGTCTTCCCTTTCTGACTTTTCCCTGCTCTGCTCCCTCCAGACCTCTTGTCAACACCTGACCTCACATTTCAGATGTATGTCTTTGCATGTCTGTCTTCCTGCCCATGACAGCATGAGTTCCATGAGGACAGGGACGTTTGTGATCTGGGTTGCACCCCAGTGCCTGGGACAGGCTGTATACTCCTGTGGATGTGAGAGTTCCCAGGGCCCTCCATGCCCAGGGTGTTTTTTTTTTTTCTTTACCCAATGGTTGAGGTTTTTTGCTGAGGACACTGTTTCATGCCCTGCTTATATTTTCATTTGAAGTGTCATCTCATAATAGTTATTATTATCATTTTCCAAAATGTGGTGGCCAGTGATGATTAACCAGGAAAAGGGAACACTTGAGATTTTCCTACCTCTTACCAATTCCTGTTCAATGTGATTTTCCTGTTTTGACCCCTGTCCCTCTGTGTTATATTTTCCCCTATTCAGGCTCCAACAGAGCCTTCTTTCCTCTATTTTTTTTTTTTTTTTTTTTTGAGACGGAGTCTCATACTGTCGCCCAGGCTGGCATGCCGTGGTGCAATCTCTGCTCACTGCAACTTCTGCCTCCCAGGTTCATGCAATTCTCCTGCCTCAGCCTCCCAAGTATCTGGGATTACAGGAGCACACCACCACACCTGGTTAGTTTTTTGTATTTTTAGTAGAGATGGGGATTCACTGTGTTGACCAGACTGGTGTTGAACTCCTGAACTCATGATCCACCCACCTCAGACTCCCAAAGTGCTGACTTTTATATTTTAGAACCCCATCCTCTCCAGGAAATCCCATCCAATCATTCTGCTTCCTCCTCCTGTCCTCTCCCAGGAAGTTCTCTCCTCACCTGTGAGCAGGAGCTCCTTCCAGGTGATGTGCAGTGTGCAGGGAGGGGCTGAGAGGGGCCCCATGGCCTGTGCTGCCTGCGTGTTCTCCTCTGTGGAGATGAGCCTGGGATCCAGAAACTTTCTGAGCACGGCTGTCAGCTGTGCTGTCCTTCCTCTTTCTGTGCTGAGCCTCTTCCCGGGGCAGGAGCACTTCTCAGGCTGATGGGCGGGGTCTGTGCCCAGGACACCTCTCTGTCCCCTCCCCTCTCAGTCCTGCCTCCTTGTCCCTCCTTCTCTTTTTCCTTTTGTCTGTGTGTCAGGTCCCTGGGAATTGTGGAGGCCTCTGCCTTTTTCAGCAGTGATTCTGTCACCAAACCTCGGCAGTCACTATGTGCAGAAACACAAACACACAAACACAAAAGAGACACACACAGTCACACACATACCCTGTAGGTTGGGCAAGCACAGTCCTGGGCCCCAGTCTCCTGCTGTTCCCATGGCTCTGGGTCGGGGTGCACATTGGCGTCCTTTGCCCTCTTTCATCCCCATCTGGCTCTCCCCTTCAGTGCAGGAGGCTGGAGCTGCACCAGGTCCCTGTCACAGGGACACCCCATTGTGCTGTGGGTGAGCTGTGTGTTGCCTGGTGACAGGGACCCTTCCTTTCTCTAGTTGTGTCTAGCTTGGCTGCAGCTTCCAAGGATGGATATTCAGGACCTGGGTGTCCCAGAGGAGACTGTCCTTCCTGGAGGTGTGCAGGGTGAATCTCTCATGCCTCTTGGGAGGAGAGGCCTGTGGTGGTTGCTCAGTGGGGGCTGTGAGTCCCATGGTCAAATGGACAGTTCTCAGTCACTCTGTTGCTCTCTGGGGTCTGGTGGCTGAGCTGGGGCTCAAGGTTTCTCATTTCTTCCTGACCATCTTTGGTGTCCTGTCTTCTCTGCCCAGCTGATTGTACTGTGGTCACCATACCTTCCCCGTAGTGGTGCAGGAGGAAGTGGGGAGTTACGCAATAACCCCGTGGAACATGGCTCCTTGAGACACAGGAAAGAGAGCCTGGGACAGAGCAGGGGTTCAGAGCTGGAGAGATTTCATCCCGACTTACTCCATGGTCGTGATGGGCTCAGCCCTCCATGTGCTGACATACCCAGGGGTCTGTCCTGAGGGTTTTCACCCGGCCAAGATGCTCACTGTAGAGGAGGAGCAGGCAGTCGCCAGAGAATCTGTTTAGAGGGACGTTGCTCACCGAGGAGAGGGTGGATGGGGTGAGTTGTGTTCTGGAACAAAGAGCAATTATACCCCCTTCTCCCGGCAGGGACACAGGAGAGGTCTGTCTTCCCAAGGGACAGACGGGGGTAGGCGGCCCCATCCTAGGTGGTGCCTGTGTGTGACCATCACACGTGCTCTGAGCCCCACGGGGTGCAGCGGGCAGGCAGGTCACAGGATGCCTGACTGATTCCCAGGGAGGCTGTGGGCCCTCAGGCAGCCGCTGTTCTGTGTCAGCGCTAGGCTTGGCCTGGGATGCCCCAGAGAACAGGACAGATGGAGCAGGGGCAGACATTTAGGGAGCAGTGACAGAAAGAGTTGATAAGGATAGAGGGAGGTCACCAGGTGAAAGCGCACAGTGTGTGGTCACCTGCACCAGCGCTGCCCTGGGAAATGTCTTTTTACCTGAGCCCAGGGAAGGAGCAGGTGTGTGGGGCAGGAGCTGCCTGCAGAGGGAGTGGTGTTAGGTTGGCGGCCGCCAGGTCAGGGAGGAGCTGACACCGTCCCTGTGGGGAGCATGGAGGATGTTGAGGACTTGGGCCGAGGTGACCCTGGTGAGGGTGAACCCTGCTTGGCTACGGGTTCTGCTGAGGGAAGTCTGCATCCCCTGGGAAGGCTTCAGGCTGGAGGGACTCTGGCGCCCTCGGGTGGACTGGAAGGGAAGTGTGGGTGGCCGAAGTCCCAGGCCAGGCTGCGTGTTTTATTCCACAAGGATCTGCACATTTCACTCGAGGTCACACATATGTTATGTTACAGCTCCATCACCTTCCAGCCCTGTGAGTCCCATTCTCTGTGGCTCTACGTTCACTGTTCTCCCCCTTTCACAATCGGGTGTCCTGAATACAGATTTTTATCACCCTCTGTGAGTTTGTATTGTGTGCAGTAGGCGGCACTGTGTATTCTCTGGGGGCAGTGATGTCTGGGGCTGAGCACTGCACTGGGCTTGGGAGCACAAGAGGGAGCAGCAGGGCGGGAGGATCAATGCCAGGGGAGCAGGGACAAGTCATTTTCATTTTCTCACTCCCAGGGACCAGAACCCAGGATTCTGACTCCAAGGCGAAGTACCACGCCTTGCTGGTGTCCCTGGATGTCATGAGTGCTCATAGTGTCATGTTGCCTTGGCATTCCTTTTTTAAGGTGTAAATTTATTTACCTCACATCAGAGGCAGGCCTTGCTCACCATGGCAGTTTTCAGTACTGTATCTCATTCAAGTTTCTTCAGTTGGTGGCCAGAGATAAAATCTTAGAGGCATCTCTCCTGCTTGGTGTGCTGGGCTCCCCTCTCTCCATCTGCTTTCTTTAAACTGATAATTCTAACATTTGACCTAAAATTTAAAGTGACCGCTTGTCAGTCACAACAGGATCTCCTGGTCCCAGTGTTTGCTGCTTGTTTTAAACACATCCATTAATACTCCCTGCTGGAAACCTGTCAGATAACACTCGGACTTACTAAAGTCATTGGCTTACCAGTCTCTTCTCTCCTCCCTGCCTGGGCTTACTGATCTCTGTATCTGTGGTCTCCAAGTGTGCCGAGTGCTCCCCAGTGTCTGTAAGTAGTAAAATCACTTACACTTTCACGTTGTAGTTGTATCACTATAGCCTCACATACCATCCAGGGCCTGACATCGAGGCTGCCCTATGGGACCTTTGCTCGTTGAGCCCCTGCTGGAGCTCTTCTTTTGGGGCCTCTGGTTCTTCTGAGGACAGGAGCTTCCAGCTAACTCGATTGAAAAAGTGATACGTTTCATGGAAATCACTGGGTCAGACGATGTATTCATGGGCTTCAACTGCCATAACAAAGACCTTAGCCTGGGTGAATTAAATAATAGAAATTGATTTTTCCCAGTTCTGTGAATAATGTGCTATTTTAACCACTTTAAAATGTGCACTCAAGTGGAATTAACCACATACACAGTGTTAAGTTACCATCACCACTATTTTTCCTAGAAAACTTTTATCTTTTTGAACTGAAACTTTGTATCTTTGATACAATAATAACTCCCTGCATTTTGCACCCTACACTTTGATCATCTCTACTCTGTCTCTATGACTCTGCCTATTCTTGATGTTTCATATAAATGGAATTATATATATATATATATATATATTATGTAGTTTCTGACATATTACATTTAGCATAATGTTTCCAAAGTTGATGCATGTTCCAGCATATGTCAGAGCTTCATTCCTCTTTATGGCAGATTAACATTCTGTTGCATGTGTCACCACATTTGTTTATTCATTGAAACTTTGTATCTTTGAAACTATAATAACTCCCTGTATTTTCCACCTTAGACCTTGATCATCTCTACTCTATCTCTGTGAATTTGCCTATTCTTGATGTTTCATATAAATGGAATTATACATATATGTTATTTAGTTTCTGACATATTTCACTTAGCATAATGTTTCCAAAGTCCATGCATCTTCCAGCGGATGTCAGAGCTTCATTCCTCTTTATGGCAGATTAACATTCTTTTGTATGTGTGACCACATTTGTTTATTCATGTGCTGATGAACACTTGGATTGTTTTCATATTTTATCTTTTGTGAGTAATGCTACAATCAACATTCCCATGCGAGTACCTGTTTCAGTCCCTGGATTCAATACTTTGGGTATAAACCTAGGACTGGATGCTGTTTCATATGAGAATTTTATGATTAGCTTCTTGAGGAACAGCACAACTATTTCTCCTAGTGGCCGCACATTTTTATAATCTCCCCAGCAATGTATGAGGATTCCAAATTCTACAAAAGGCTTTCACTTGTTATTTAACCTTTTAAAAGAATGGTAGCCATATTTGTAGGTTTAGTGTGGGATCCCATTGTGGCGTTAACTTTGTATTTTCCTAATGACTAATGATGTTGAGTTTCTTTTCATGTCCCTCTTGATGATTTGCATATCTTCTTTGAAGAAATATCTATTTGCGTCCTTTGCCCATTTATATAAATTGGTGGTTTGCCTTTTCATTATCGAGTTGTAGCAGTTCTTTATATATTCTGGGCGTGAAACCATTGTCTTTGTGATTTGCAACTATTATGTCTCATTCTGTGTTTGGTCTTTTTATTTTCCTGATAATATCTTTGATGCACAAAAGGCTTGCATCTTTAGCCCAATTTATCTATTTTTTGTTTTTGTTTCTCATGCATTTGGGTCATAACTGAGAATCCATTGCACATTTGAGGTCATTAAGTTTCACCCCTATGTCTTTTTCTAAGATGTTTTTATGGTTATAGATCTTATAATTAACTCACTCATCCATTTTTAGATAATTGTTTGATATGGTTGGAAGTATACTTCTCTAAGTTTATTGTTTTGCATGTGGTTATCTAGTTGTTTCTGCACCGTTATTTGAGAGGATGATTGTTCTTCCATTAAATTATCTTGACACCCTTATGCAAGAGCAATGAACTATAAGGGTGAGGGTTTATTTCTGGACTCTCAATTCCATCCCTTTGGTCACTATTTGTATTTTTATGCCAGCAGCTTCTGTTTTTAGTACTTGTAATGTTTTGTGAAATTTCAAATAAGAAAGTTCAGGTTCTGCAATTTATTTTCACAAAATTGTTTTGACTCTTTCAAGGGTACTTTTTTAAAAGCAAGGAGACCAATGTTTTGCAATTGGAAGCCCTTTCTGTCATCTTTCAGAGGGGAATTTTGCAGTCTAGGGATCTTTTCAGGAACTTTATCACAAGTAGGTAAATTATCACCACATCCTTTGCTGAGGTACTGTGTTAAAATGTGTGTTGCCTCCAGTTGAGGAATTGAGAGACCCTGGAATCACTTGCCCATGTGGTGAGGGACAGTGAGCTCCTTAATCAGGGGCACAGAAGACATTGCTTTGGGACACAATGTTGTCAGGGGATCTGTGTGCATCTCTACTTCTTTATTTTCTTGTACAGTTTAGATCTCTGCTGGACATACTAGATATTGAAATCTTTGTTCATTCTCTTGGTTCTGGGTTGGCTGATCTGTCAGCTGGAGCTGGAGGACATGCCTGGAAGGGGAGTGACCCCCATGGCAAAGACCAGGGCTCAGCAGAGTGAAAGCAGCTGGGACCCAGAGAAGCCAGTGAGGGCTGACTCTTAGAAGCAAAAGAACAGCAGGTGGGTGTCCTCAGGGGCAAATGGACTGCACTGGTACCCCTTCCAGTGGACTGGAGGAAGGTAAGGGGCTTTGGATATTCCATTTTCTCTCAGCTCTTCAGCAGGAGATTTGGGCCCTGGGATGGTACTGTCCTGCAGCAGGGGCAGGGTGGACAGAAATGGCTGCATATCATGCCTAAGTCCATGTCATCCTCTCAGGCATTGCCCCTGAAGATGGAGAATTTTGTTCAGAGGCCCAGCCTGGGCACATGGGAGAAACCACCTTATTAAAATTAATTTAAGAAAACAGTATGCATGCTTTAATCTTCTAGAATAATTATTAACGTCATGTTTTACAATGTATCTCTTAAAGGAATGGTGAGAATCATCTACATAATTAATGTTTTATGTGGTCTTTTCTATAATTGCAGCTTTCACATGTTCTTATAGAATCCATTTTCTTTGGGAACACACAGGCAGTATCTCTGTGTTGATTTCTACTGGGAAATCTTTATGCAGGGTGGAGAGAGTGACATTTCCTAATGAGAGATGGAAAGCATGTGACTACCAGAAAATGTGTCCAAATTCTGCAGGTATGATCATGGTGCTGCAGGTGAAGGTCTGTTTAACAAGGATTCAGGCAAAGCAATTTTGAAAGTCTTTATCATTGTTTTTGTTTGTTTATTTGTTTTTTGGGTTTTTTTTTTTTGTTTGTTTTTTGTTTTTTACAAAACCATGGGCAGAAGCCATCACCTGGACCCACCACATGTTGAAATGGATGAGGGACAGAAATGGAGCTCAGTAAATTGAGAATGAAATTCAGGAGTGGGGAAGAGGTTTGAGAGGTCAACGGGTGTGAGAGGTGAATGGGTGAATGATGAGAATGTTCAAAACATCTTGTTTCTCCATAATAAGAGAGCATTTATGCCCCTGAGTCAGACAGTGTCCAGGCCAGGGGAGCAGGATGTTGTCAGCTCTCCTGGGCAAAAGTGAGACTCCAGCAGTGTCCAGTTACCTCATCCAGTTTGGGATTTATTCCTATTTTTAAAATGATCCAACAGTATACCATTTTGAAAATATACAAAAATCTCTATGCTACCATTCATAGACAGACAAGATGGCCCTAAGATGGTGAGAGAATCAGAATGGAATTTGGGTTTACATTGTGTATTTTTATCTCCCAATATCTACAGAATTCCCTACCTCAATTTTTTAATGTAACCCAGTGGGTGTCATTCCCTTTCACAGTTACAGACATTTCCAGTTCACGGTTAAGACCCTTGGAAAACCCACTCCCTTTCTGCTGTGAGGTACAGGCAGTCGTGTGGCATCACCTCTAAACATGCCTTCTGGGGCATCAAATTGCTGATTAAGTAAAAGTCATTTCAATACACATTGAAGACCTCCATTTTATCCGTCTCACACTTGTAATTCTTCTACCAAGAGGTGATGGGTTTTAGTGGTGATTTGCTTTTATAGATTAGTGTAGATTAATGCTTCTGCCAGGGGCATTTTTTTCATTGGGAAAAGCATTTGGCAAAGTCTGGAGACATTACTGGTTGTCAGAGCTGGGGGGGAAAGTCCTACTGGCCTTGAGTGGGTAGAGTCCCCAGATAGTGTTGAACATTCTAGAGCTCACAGAGCCCCACCAGCATGACCACTACAAAGTTCAATGCTGAGGAGTGGAGAGCCCTGATGTGCCTCCCCTAACTTCCCTGGAGCTTTTTACCTTCTCCTTCCATAAGTCTCTACAACTTTCTCACCTCAGCTTGCTCCTTGAACCTTAGTGCCCTCCACCTGAACTTTCCCTTAGTTTAAGACCTGCTGTAATCTGTCGACTTCCTTGGCCCCTTTCTGATCCTTAGCAGGGTGTCCTCTAGAGGGCATCCTCACCTTTCCTGGAGCTTCCCAGGATCCAGATGCCCCTGCCCTGTGTGGGCACCAGGGATATGGCCGTGTGCCTGTGTCCCTAAAGGTCCTGTCACTCAGGACTTTTGTGTGAGAGTAGCTGAGGTGATATTACCCTCCCCTACTTTTCTTGGAACATAAAAATATGTACAAACCTTGGAGAGTAAAATTTCTTAATGCATGTCAAAATTTAAAAATTATATATTTTTGCCTCCCAAACTTTACTGGGAAAAATTTGTCACACTACCAGTCATGAAAAATGTCACCTAATCAGGGTTATTCACTGTACTGTTTGTTTAACAGCAAAATGTTGGGAACAACCTAGACTTTCACCAGCACGATACTAATTCAACAGATTACCTTATATCTACACAACAGAATATGATGCAGCTGCATAAAAAGTATACAATCTGTCAGCTATTCATGTGGAAACACCTCCACGTTCTATTTTAATTATAGTATCTAAACATCACAGAATAAGATGCAGTTTTTGTACTAGATCTCACCTTAGAACATTATTTTTACTTTTTTGTTTTTTAATTTAAAGAGTGAGTGTCTCACTCTCATACCCAGGCTGAAGTGCAGTGGTGAGGTCATAATTGACTGCAGCCTCAATCTTGTGGGCTCAAGGGATCATCCTGTCTCAGCCTCCTGAGTAGCTGGAATCACAGGCACGTGCCCCTGTGCCTAGCTAATTTTTTGTGTTTCTTGCTGTAGAGATGGGGTTTCATCCAGGCTGGTGAAATCCCAGGCTTTTCTCACACTTCTGGGCTCAAGGGATCTGCCCACTTTCACTCCCAAAGTGCTGGAATTACAAGTAAGTGTCACCACACCTGATTCTGTCTTTTTTTTTTTTTTTAATTGGACTGCAGTCTACTCATGCATCGCCTTCCCCATCAGGTGATTTCTATTTTTCCTAAATTTCTCAACCATATGTCCATGCCAAAATCCAGATGGATTTGCTTTTGTTTAGAATTAGATTTTTTTTTTTTTAAGAGAAGCCTTAGGAATGGTCTCCTAGCTGATTTTCAGGATTCTAATCTTCACTGTCTAAACGATATGTTTGCATTTCCAGATGTTGATTACAGTCACTTGTAGAGCATTTAAAGCCTACCAATACCTGTACCATCCCTCAAGCGTATCTGATTTGGCTGATGTGTGGTGTAGCCGACGGATTGGTTGTTTAAAAATGCTTTCAAGGAAAAGGGTCGTTTTGCAATGGAGGAACTTTAACCCAATAATCAAAGTAAATGTCTCCAGTAGTCAGAGATAACGACATCTCAGGGCATTCTAATATAATGGATGGAGAAGGTGCAGCATCATCCCTGTGGTATTCTTCTACAAACTGTATAACCTGAGTTTAATCATGAGAAAATATTAGAAAAGTCCAAACTGAGGGTCATGCTGCAAAATAAATAACAAATACTCTTAAAAAATGTGAAGCTCTTAAAGGTAAATCCTAACTTTCCCAGATTAAAGGAGACTGAGAGAACAGTACAATGAAGAGCAATATGTATATGAGATTGGCTCCTGGTCCAGTAAAAGGACGTTAGTCAGAAGATAGAGGGGATCTGTATAAGGTCTCTACAGGCATTCATTTTACAGTGTTAATAATCATTTATTGATTTTCATTATTAGGTGCATATCTATAATGTTAATATTTGGGGAAGTTGAATGAAAAGCATAGAAGGACTTTGCCTATTTTTGGAACATTTTAGAAAGTCTGAAATTATTTCAAAATTAAACATGAAAAGAAAGGAAAAGAAATATAGATCTTTTAGATATTTCTATTAAGTGTCCAAAGTTAAAGATCATTTCCCAACTTCTCTTACCTAATGCTGGTCAGAGTAATCTTCCTGGAAATGCAGTTTGTCATGTTTGCGACCTTCTCAAAGCTTTCCAGTGACTTCTCTTATCTGTAGGATGAAGTTCCCATTACATAGGCTACCATTCAGTGTCCTCATAGCATGACCCTAATCTCCCTTTTTTTTTTTTTTTTTTTTTTTTTTTTGATCTGTGCTGAAAGACCTGACCAATATTTTACTTTCTTATGGTCAAACTTGTTCCAATTTTATTTTTTGTCTGATGCCCTTCCCTGTCTTCTCAACTGTGGGACTTCAGTCAAGGTGGTGGAAAATATTTTAGAAGAAAAATTATAAAGATAGTTATAGGAAATAGTCACAAACCTTCTTGGAACCTGGAGGCTTGCATAGCTTCAGTAAAAGGTTTGGCTGAAGGCAGCTGAATTATCTTAAAAGCTTAGGGCATAGATATACAGGAATGTAGAGGAGTTTATCTAAATAGCTTGTTTACTCAGGCGGTCCTAAAGCCAACATTTAATCTTATACTGGGGGAACTACTCTTGGGGAGGTCGGCAATGTCAGTTACCTTCTAATGGTGTTTACTGAAGACCTTTGTCATTTAATCGGTACTAAAAAAATGCGAACTTCACTGGGAGATCAGGGCCGCTGCTGTTAACACTTTATCGGACCCTTCTAGGTATCCCTGAGTGACTCGGCCACCTAGCCTGCTCTTTCACTGGATCTGAGTGTCTGAGTGTATTTGTTCATCCATTGCTGGGTCAGGGTCTGCCGGTTGGACCCAGACAGTTGGTGCCCCATGTGAGGACCTGGAATATTGGTGCCCAGGTCTGAGGTATGCCTGCAAATAATTGTGACAGAACCTATGAAAACTAAGGAGAAGACTGTGCGGTTGGTAAGCCAGTAAGTCGATAAGTCAGTAAGTCAGTAAGTCATCGGTGCCCGCTTGGGATCTCCAATTTCGAGGGAATTGTTCAGGTAGGCTTTTATCAGGGGACAACAGTTATCAGCACAACAGGAGCAGTATCTAAAAGTGTTTAAACAGCTGCTTAAAGCTACTGAAGCCTTGGGTTTGCAGACTCAATTAAGGGACCTAAGGTAAATTGTATCACTTAACCCATGGTTCCCGAAAGAAGGTAAGCTAGACATAGAGCTTTGGGAACAAGTGGGAAGAAATCTTTTTTTTTTTTTGAGAGAGAGAGAGAGAGAGATACAAGAAACAGAAAAGGGAGACTTGTGGGAGTTCAGTCAGGGTGGTGGAAACGATTTTAGAGGAAAAATTATAAAGATAGTTATAGGAAATAGTCACAAACCTTCTTGGAAGGCCGGGGAGGTTGCATAGCTTCAGTAAAACATTTGGCTGAAGGCAGCTGAATTCTCTTAAAAGGTATAGATACAAAGGATTGTAGAGGAGTTTACTCAGGTGGTCTTAAGAACAACCTTTGATTATCTGCAGGTGTATGATTGCTCTCTACTCAGGAGGTTGGTAATGTCAATTACGCTCTAGCGGTCATATGTCCTTGAGGACTTGATTTGTGACCAAGTCGGAGCACTCACTCTTGGTCCACCATCAGGGGGAGGAATCATTTTTGAGTCACATTAGGTGACCAGCCTTAACATGGCTGAGAACCTGAGGTTTTTTATTTTTTCTTTTGTTTTCCAAATGTGTTAAGCTCCCAGGAGGGCTTGTCACAAGAAATCCCTTCCATCTTGGACTTTTGTCATCCCAAGTCTTTTTGCTTGGATAGGGCAGTAGCAACACCAGTCTTTTGCTTTCCTAAGCCTGTTCCTGAGAGTACATATTTTGTTGGGGTGGAGGAAAAGATCATTGGGGTTGGTTTTTCACCAAAGAGGCTCTTGGATTGAGTCACTTAGAATCAATACATCACTGGAAATTCTAATAGTCCATGGCCAGAAGATGGATTCTTTACATTGGGACTTCTAAGTTAAAAAATATTTGAGAGCTCTCTTACTCCAAATGGTTGATCAGAGGATTTAATTTCAAAGAGAGATACCTACCTAATAGTGTTATGGCTAGCCTTAAAATTTCTTTTAACTAAATTACAGAGCAAAAATCTGACCTAAACAAAGTTAATTTTTTTTGTAAACTCAAACTGCTTGCCTTACAACCTATGAGAAAATAAGAATAAAAGCCACTTTACCTTATCATCATCGAACAGTTAAAAATTTTATGCTTTTACTGCTGCATCCTGGATTTAATTTCAGATGAAGGAACAAGTCTTATTTGTTTTGATATTTGTGTGAATTTTTGAGTTTTTGAGGTGCTCCTTCACTTCTTTGGAGATGCCTCATAGATGCTTGGCTAAGCCGTAATCTTGGTTGAGGCTTATTAGTTTCATTTGGGAACTAATATTTTTGGTTAAAAAAAAATCAAAAGCCAGAAATATCAGCTGTTTGTGCTACCTAAAATCTGATAATAAGAAATCTGAGGCCGGGCAGTGGCTCATGCCTATAATCCCAGCACTTTGGGAGGCCGAGGCGGGTGGATCACTAGGTCTGGAAGTTGAGACCATTATGGTTAACACAGTGAAACCCCATCTCTGTTAAAAATACAAAAAATTAGCCAGACATGGTGGAGTGCACCTGTAGTCCCAGCTACAGGGGAGGCTGAGGCAGGAGAATGGTGTGAATCCAGGAGGAGGAGGTTGCGGTGAGTTGAGATTGCGTCACTACTTTCCAGCCTGGGAGAGAGAGCGAGACTCCATCTTCAAAAAAAAAAAAAAAAAAAAAAAAAAAATCTAATACTGTTGCAGTAGGTAGCTGATCAGACATGAGCAAGGCAGGAGAGATCCTTCCACCTCCACACATTAGAAATGTCAAGTGTTCATCACCAGGTGATGGTCAAGTCAAGTGACTGTTAATTCTAAAGTAATATTGGTTGCAGTTAGGTACAGGTAGATACAGGCTCACAATAGATAGAAAACACCTGAAACAGGTGATCAGCAGCTTCCTGATAAGTTCTCAAAAGTCGAGGAAGTGAGTTCAAATATACACATTAAGAGGCAACATAATGGAGTTTCTGGTATATGACCTTCAGGAACTTTTTTTTTTTTTTTTTTTTTTACATTTTAGAAGAATTTTTTAGTAACTATGTTTTTAAATTTTTTATTATTTTATTTTATTTTTAACTATTTTATTTCCATAGGCTTTTGGGGATTTGGTATTTAATTACCTAAATTCTCTAGTGGTAATTTGTGAGATTTTGGTGACCCATCACCAGAGCAGTATACACTGAACTCAATTTGTACTCTTTTATCCCTCACCGTCTTCCCACCCTTTTCCCCAAGTCTATTTTATCATTCCTATACCTTTGCATCCCTGTAGCTTAGCTGCCACTTATGAGTAAGAACATAGAGTGTTTGGTTTGCCATTCCTGAGTTACTTCACTTAGAATAATAGTCTCCAGCTTCTTCCAGGTTGCTGCGAATGCCATTAATTCCTTCCTTTTATGGCTGAGTAGTATTCAATCATATATATACCACAATTTCTTTATCCACACATTTATAGTTTACATTCCCACCAGCGGTGTAGATGTGCTCCCTTTTCACCACTTCCACATCAACATCTATTATTTTTATTTATTTATTTCTGAGATGGATGGAGTCTTGCTCTTTCACCCAGGTTGCAGTGCAGTGGCATGAACATGGCTCACTGTAACTTCTGCCTCCCAGGTTCAAGCCATTCTTCTGCCTCAGCCTCTGGAGTAGCTGGCATTACAGGCAAGTGCCACCTCACCCAGGTAATTTTTTTGTATTTTTAGTAGAGACAGAGTTTCACCATGTTGTACACGCTGGTGTCAAACCCCTGACCTTAAGTGATTCACCCATCTTGGCCACCTTGGATTATAGGTGTAAGCCACCGTGCCTGTCCAACAACTAATATTTTTTCATTTTTTGATTATGGATATTCTTGCAGGAGTAAGGTGGTATCACATTGTGGTTTTCATTTGCATTTCCCTGATCATTAGTGATATTGAGCATTTTTTCATATGTTTGTTAGCCATTTGTATATCTTCTTTTGAGAATTGTTTATTCATGTACTTAGCCCACTTTTTCATGGGATTGTTTGCTTGCTAATTTGTTTGAGTTTCTTGTAGATTCTGGATATTGGTTATCTTTCAGATGTATAGATTGTGAAGATTTTCTTTCACTCTGTGGATTATGTGTTTAGTCCGCTGACTGTTGCTTTGCTGTGCAGAAGCTCTTTAGTTTATCGAAGTCTCAACTACTTATTTTTCCTTTTGTTGCATTTGCTTTTGGGTTCTTGGTCGTGAAGTTTTCGCCTAAGCCAATGTCTACAAGGGATTTTCCAATGTCATCTTCTAGAATTTTTACAGTTTCAGGTCTTAGATTTAAGTCCTTGATTCATGAGTTGATTTTTGTATAAGGTGAGAGATGGGGATCTAGTTTTATTCTCCTACATTCGGTTTGCCAATTATTTCAGCACCATGTGTTGAATAAGGTGTCCTTTCCCCATTTTATGTTTTTGTTTGCTTTGTCAAAGACAAGTTGGCTGTAAGTATTTAGGTTTATTTCTGGGATCTGTATTCTGTTCCATTGGTCTATGTGCCTATTTTTATACCACTACCACGCTATTTGGTGACTATGGACTTAGAGTATTGTTTGAAGTCAGGTGATGTAACACCACCAGATTTGTTCTTTCTGCTTAGTCTGGCTTGGGGTATGTTGGCTCTTGTTTGGTTCCATATGAATTTTAGAATTGTTTTTTCTAGTCTGTGAAGAATGATGGTGGCATTTTAATGGGAATTGCATTGAATTTGTAGATTGCTTTTGTCAGTGTGGTCATTTTCACAATAATGTTTCTATTCATGAATGATCATGGGGTACATTTTCATTTTTTATGTCATCTGTGATTTTTTTCAGCAGTGTTTTCTAGTTTTTCTTGATGTCTTTCACCTCCTTTTTGTTTAGATATATTCCAAGTTATTATTTCTTAATAACTGCTGTCATAAAAGGGGTTCAGTTCTTGATTTGATTCTCTGCTTGGTCACGGTTGGTGTGTAGCAGAGTTTCTG